CGAGACTGTCCTTAAAGGCAACGTAATTATAACTACTTCGCCATTTTTGGAGACCCCTTATTAGTGGTATCGTAATATTAGGTTTCTGCTTTACCAATTGATCATTTCCTGCACGAAAACTCCACTTAGACGGGCATAATGGTTTTTGCTGTCTTGTCACGATGATGAAGAATGAATGCAAGTCTCGAACGCACAAAGTAGTCTCCTCTATTGATGGGTGACCATGTATTGAGTATTGAGGTAAGTGATTACAGTATAACCATAAACCCTATAGATATACGTCTGACAGCCTGAGCTCTGGCGCGCAGGCTCCACGTACACCCCAGGCGACATTGTCTGGTGGGAACCTCCTCCTTGGAAGCGCGTTTGTCAGGATGGAGTGGTTTCGCAGAATTCCGGCTGCCGTCTCCAGACTCCACTACAGAACCGACACCGCCGTCGTGAAGACTTAAGTTGGTTTGAAAGCCGCTGAGAGACGCGCATCCGCCGTGCATTTGACGCATGGACTGCTGATTCAAGCTCACTTCAAGAACAGTTTGAATGCCAATTAAACTTACTGACGCTTCTGAAGTAGACTAGATATCTCGACTGCTGGCAGCTTTTTCCTGTGTTTAACGACGTCACAGACAATACAGCACCATTAAAGCAGGTGCAATATAGGCATGACAAGCATCATTAATCGATGCAATCACACTTTCGTAGACACACGCAGAAAGTTACAACTACTGTGGGCTTTTGTGTTGAACCGATGGAACTAGATCAGTAAAGGAATGTGTTTCTAATGGGAGAAGAATTTTGTGATGATAAATTTGGCCAATTGGAAAGGAATCATGTTCCAAACCAAGGGAGACCAGATGAATAGGTCCGCTGGCGCCATGGCAGTCTTAGGTAAGAATGTACACAATTCTAACTAATTTTTCAAGTGGTCGCAGTCAAATGGGAACTGCTCAACTCCCTGAGATACCACGTGAATACGTTCCAGCTCTGAAGTAGTCATGTGTGGTCATGTATATGTCAGGGAAGAGACGCCGATTTGGAAAAATCAGACTAATTCAAGCTCACTTCAAGAAGTGTGAATCCCAATTAAAGTTACTGAAGCTTCTGAAGTAGACTAGATATCTCTACTGATGACAGCGTTTTCCTGTGTTTAACGACGTCACAGACAATACAGCACCATCAAAGCAGGTGCAATATAGGCATGACAAGCATCATGTCTACCGGTAGACATCCCGATCGGATTCGAATTCTGTCAACAGAAACTCAGATCGGAGTCTCTACCGGAACATTCTGCGATTCATACCCAGTATCATACGCGTACAGCATCAAAATATGTTTAGGTTTTATGGTAAGCACAGACTATCTAAATGATATCAGTATCTACCAGTTATGTGTTTTAATGTTTATAACTTTTAATGCCTAAAACTCCGATCGGGATCTCGTCGAGTTCCTAAATATTCATCCCACTGGCTTACTACAAGGAAAACACCATTTCTGTATACAGTAGGTTAAACAGAATACTATATATAGCTACCAGCCCTACAGCCTCGCAAGTCAGTAACGTATGTTCAACCACATCTTCGAAAGCTTACAAAGTTTTGACTAACTTTGAGGCGACAGTGGACTTCAGGTACCCGTAATTCTACTAGCCACAGTGCATGTTGTGCAACCTTGGCCGTGGCTTGAGAAAGGGGAAGGTCGGCCATCCACGAAGTTGAAAAACGACGCTCTGTTTGTCTTGCGGCAGCTTTTAAAGCCCTGAAGTACCTCGGCCGACGCCTGTGGCAATTTCTCCGTGACCCTTTCTGTCGAACAGCCGTGGTTTCAGACATACGTCTCTGCCGTAAGCCCCGTATCGGATGTGCGCCACGTTACGACCAGAGACGTTGTTTTAATCAAGTATTTTGGCAAAGCCGTATGGCCTTTGTATCCTTATGCCAGGTACGCTTGGTAGACTGTAGGATCGAAGTCTGGCTTCGTACGATTGGTTTTAAAAGACAAAACTTCACGAACTTTGCAGAATGAAAATCCCTATTGACGCAGGGTTAATGCTTAAAGCAGCCCGCATATCTTTGAACTTTCCCTTCAATGATATATAGCCTTCTTTACTAAGACAACTCTCAAATACTTAAACGTATTCCTTTCATCCCCTGAATCTCAAGTTCCTAAATATTCATCCCACTGGCTTACTACAAGGCAAAACACCATTGCTGTACACAGTAGATCACACGGAATACTAACAACATGGTTAATATGAGCGCATAAAGCCAACCTCTCTCAATGAACTATAGGTAAAAGGGGAAGCTTTATTGACGCAGTAAAAGTACAACGACGTTCATAAGGTCAGCTGCAAAGTGCAACATAGCCATAGAAGATAAATCTTTACATTCTACTTAAGCTTAATAAACATTGTAACATAATGCCCAATGTCTGAGTTCTGTAATTGTGCATATCACAAGAGTAGTTAAGTTAAAAGTACGCTCTCAACTGTCGACGTATGTTTTAATAGATCCGATTAGACTGCAATGCGCGCACCAAGTTAGGTCTAGTTAGATAGGACCGGATCTTGTAACTTATGCGATATATAATTGTGTCCCAGTGCAGGTCGTTTTTGATCGGTCTCAAAACGACAGCCTTGACTTTGCAGCATGCAAATTTGCTTATTGACGTACTTTTGTTAATAGATTCTGACCAGACTGGAATGCGCACTCAACCAAGGTTGGTCTATTTATGTATGTTCGAGTCCTGTAACTTACATGATATACCTGTACCCCGGCGCGACTCGTCTCTGCTTAATATCAAACATACAACCCTTGCTTTGAAGCGCGCAGATACTTGGCGTTTTAATAGATTCTGATCCGACTGCAATGCGCATAATGTTTTTCATTCAGCCAACTTTGGCTTGCTTATGTGTAACCGAGTCCTGTAACTTATATGATATAATTGTGCCCCGGCGTAGCTCGTCTTTGATCAATATCAAACCGACAACCTTGACTTTGCTCTGCAGCATGCAGATTGTTGGAGTTTCCAATAGATTCGACTCCAGCTGCATTTGCCTTAGTCTCCTTCGACCAAACACAAGTTTGATTAAGCCATTAAGTACGAGGTAATTGGATCGATGTGGACGGAATGAAACACGGGCGACCAACAGAGACAATTTCGTAGCCTATACATATCCAGACGTGCCGTTGTTCTGTATGGGTAAATAAGTCTGAATACATGGCACACTAACATATTCTATGCCGATCATATGACAAACATCACGAATAAAGTTTAATGCCCACGTTTATCTTACAATCGTTACTTGGAAAGCACCAAATCCCTTCCCTCGAGCACACACGAGTATGAACGGTATATCATCTATAGTTTTGCAAACTAACGCAAACCCAAGATTCAACTTGTCAAGATGACAAAGTCGAGGAAAGCCAGCGTGGATCGGTGACATGGTAGGATAACGTGAGTCAGTACAACACTGACATGTAGCATTAATGCCTTGTTCTTCATTCCTGATTGGTTGGTTCGAATTTAATCCGTGTTCATTGAAGATGTATTGATGTAGTCTTTAGAAATTACACCTGTGATTGGGATTGGGGTGTAGTTGATGCCCCGAGATGTGTTCTGCCGGCAATGGCATGGAGTGCAGTCTTTGGAACTAACACTGTTAGCCGTCCGTCTCCTGTTTATACGTTTATAGCTAATAATAAACCCCACTTCTCGGAAACAGCATAGGCTGGCCTTGTTGTGCGATGACTCGAACCAATAGGCCACCCAGCTTGTTCTTATCTGTGAAAAGCAAGGCTTGTTAACCAACGCGTCACGCAGTGTTAGGGCTTAACGGTTAGGCGGCACAGCCACTGATACCAGGAACATGACAAACGATACTCTGTCGCCTCTGCACCCACAAGGTTAAGCGAAAGTCAGGTAGCGATGTGACACACGAGACATTAAGTTTGCTGCAGTGCCAGAAGTCACCTTTATTTACAGACTGTTGAGCTCGTGTCGTGCATAGTCGTGTTGTATGCGGACTTCAGCATGCTAATATGATCGGCCTTTGGCAGCTATCTTCAGGGATATCACGTTCCTGCAGACATCGGGGACAGGGTTTAAATATCGGATTTTTAAAGATAATTCATTGCTATTAATTTCCTGATCCTTCCATCACCATTTCCTGTGGTGACAAACTCCCTATGCATGTATCTCCTTGTTTGAATTACAAATCATGGCTACAAATGGGTTATGAAGAAACTATTCTACGGCTGATATATTCTTATTTTCGCCTGCAAATGTGCATGTATGACTCGCTACCACGCTCCATCAAACATTACCCAAGAATCAGTTTCGACAAGAAGTTGAACAAACCTTCCTGGTTAGAGTTGCTTTGTGTACAGAAAATCTGGTCAGCTAGTGTTCAGGGTAAGGTTCTGAATGTATGACAGAGGCTTTAGCATATAGTTTGACATATGAAATACAGAAAAAAAGATAAGCCCAATGACCATTCGGACATCAAAAACGAGGTTTTATTACTGCAATTGAGTAAATGCCATCATTGAAGAACGTTAGCTTTTAAATGCCAACAATGTACTTCGTTTTTATCTGCATGAATTATAGGGCGCCATTTCAGCCAAGTTCCATTAATTCTTAACCTCCATGGTTATAGCCACTTCTAACGACGATGCCGTAACACTATTATCAATTATCTTTGTTTGCTTGATGCCAAACTCCATGAAGTAGTTTCCACCCAAATCAGTCATGGTCGGCGCACGTAGGAAGATCTACTGGAGGGGTTTTCTAGGCTTTCTGGTGCGCTCGAGCGTAGTTCGTCAGCCCAGTACGCATGCCCAGAAGCAGACCGACGCACACGGAGTAGGACCACAGTCGTTATATATGAGTCCAGACTGCTCAATGGAGATTATTCCTACAGTCTCCCAAAACCCACAGGGCACAGCAGCGTCGGTTATGGGTCAGGTACGGGGCATGATCTTCCCGTGACTACCGGCAATGAGTATGTGAATTGGCCACATGACCTACTCTTGGGCGACACGGAGTCACGAATTTGCTACGAGGAAGTTTGCTCGGACATCAGGGTATGTTATGTCTGGCCTAACGACGCGTAGTTTCCATACGTGTTTCAAAGAATAACACATCCATAGTTATTTTCACTCCCGTTGTGTTTACATCACAATTATCGCAACAAATAAAGCGTCAAGATTCAACAGACCAAAATAGGCCGACTTGATTGCCAA